ATTAAGGGTTCGATTTTGACTTATGTATTGACATGCCATTTGAGAAACAAGTGCTATAATCTTATGGAACCGTGCTTAGTTTACTTCTTTTGGCCAGCATATGGGGTTTCCTGCCATCGATTTTCTGGCATTCATCATAGGAGATGCGGCTTGAGAAGGAGTGCCTAACATAAACTGACACTATTCAATGTCTCGAGGCCAATTGCCCGCTACGTCCCTATCCAATTCAAGTTCTTTCTGTTAATAAGGTTATATGTTGTGTTGTTTTCAGGCTTATCAAAGAATTTGATAGAGAAGTGAAGAATATGGAGAGAATAAATGATCCAAATACCAGTAGAATGCTGAATGAGAAAAAGCAGTCGATGGTGTGTTTTCAATCCTTGCTTTATTTCTGGAGTCTGCTATGCGTACTTTTTATTCCTTTTCTAATTTCCTTTGTTTTAATTGTCATCTTGTATCTATTAATTGTTTTTACCACGTTACACGTGTGTTAATAGTTTTAACTTTTATGCAGATTAAAGAGTTGAATTCATATGTGGCTCTGAAAAAACAGTAAGTTAGCATCAGCAAGAAATTACATTAATTGATTCACCATCATTTTTTAATAGAAGAAGAAGCCTGAGTTGTACTATACAGGAAAATAATTTGTTTTTATTATTTGTTGAAAAAGAACTATATTATTGTCCCATTGGACGATCAAAGTACTGGTTTATATTCGGGTCAAAGTTGTTTTCTAAATTGAAGATATGTATTTTTCTTAAGAGAATTTATAAAAACATTTGGTGTGCCTTTGGTACAGGTATGCATCAAACCTTGACAACAAGAAAATTGATCTCTTTGATGGACCGGCCGAAGACTTGGGGGAACAGAATGTCTTGCTAGCCTCAGGGTAACATGAAATCCAGCCCCGTAAACTGTTGCACTAATTATGGGTTTAACAATTCACTATCAACATATTACCCATCTGTTGAGATGCTATGGTTTTATATATAGCTCTCACAAGAATGCTCTTGTACATGCACAAATGTGCTCACTCACAAATACAGACACTCATACAACTATATAGTGGACGCCATAAAATCCTGCATAGTTGATGTGGAAAGGAAAAAATACACACATGAGGGGCACTAATTGAAATGCAAAATTTCCTTATACAGCTTCTCTCTCTCTCTCTCTTCTCTCTCTTCTCTCTCTGAGGCTCAAAAGGACACCACAGACAACCTTTTACATTTTTTCCTCTATTTGTTTGGTTGCATTATATATATGGTTTGGTGGTCTTTATGTATGTGCTTTGTCACAACTCTAAGTTGGACCTCATTAAATCAATTGTAGATAAATTTGAATACCAAAGTACTTGTCTTGTCTACATTCACTGATAACATTGAGAAATAGTAGGAAGTGTATCCCATCCTGGAATGAATTATATTGCAGTAATTCACCATTGAAAACAGTGACTGCATAATGGATGTATGCCTTTGGTAACCAATTACACATGTGCCTTATAGGCTATAGGGTTAGAGGTTAAACTTGATATCATAAAAAAAAAAAATTAAAAAAAAACTAAGCATATTAACTTTTAGAGAAGTTCCTAAGAGAAATGCATTTAGGTAATAACTATGACATTAGTATTTTGTTTAGATGGAATGCTGAAAATGAATGATGCATTTTGTTGAATGTTCAGAAACTCTGGAAACTCTGCTTGATATAACAAGTCATACCATGTTGTCTTACCTGAAAGACAATAAACATATATTCCATATGAGTTATTTGTTAACTGGAGTCCATATGTTTGGCAGCTATGACGAATCAACAACTTATTGATAATGGAAACCAAATGATGGATGAGACAGATCAAGCCATTGAGAGATCAAAGAAGGTGGGTGCATCTGCAAAAGATCGATTTGATTATTCAAAGAAAAACTTTGTTCCTGCTATCAGGCGTTGTTAAAAGTGATTCATGTATAACGTTTCTTTGTGTTCCTGTTTTGTAATAGGTTGTTCATGAAACCATCAATGTTGGAACAGAGACAGCACAAGCTCTCAAGGCTCAAGTATGTAGTATTCAATTATGTTTCCTCATATTCCTTTTAGAAAATTGGAGAGGCATGGTAACTAAATTTTTTTTTTTTTTTTTTTTTTTCGTGTTTAGACGGAACAAATGAGCAGGATAGTCAACGAGCTGGACTCTATACATTTCTCAATCAAGAAAGCTTCTAAGCTGGTCAGGGAAATTGGTAGGCAGGTCATTTTCTGAATTATCCACTTTCTTATTCCATATGTTGATGATATTTGCTACTTTTATTACTCATTATGATTGTTTTTCTTTCCTGTTAGGTTGCAACTGATAGATGTATTATGGGATTACTCTTCTTGATTGTCGTCGGAGTCATAGCCATCATTATTGTGAAGGTATGAATACGCTTGCTTCTAGTTTTGTTACCAATGTGTATTAAATTAAATTCCATCTACTTAATTGTGTTCTTAATTTTTTTTACAAAGTGTAGCCTGATAGATGCTAGAGAAGTATGGTTTTTAGCCTCCTTTATTGCTGCTGACACCGCTTTTGTATGCTGAAAATCTATCCCTGATCTTCAGTTGCATACAGCAATTTTAGTGCTTTGATGCAGTTTCTTTTTCTAAATACTTGAATCATGCATTGTTTGTTTGAAATTTTGGAAGTACATACGATGCTTCTGAAAGCAGTGTATCCTAGACTTGAAAGCAAGTAATACTTTGGAACTGATAAGGTGTACTTGAATGTCTCTACTTGGTTGCAAGTATTCTCTGAAATAATTTCCGACTAAATCTTTGTTTAGATTTTGAGTTTCCTGGTTCCCTAGTTCAGCAATGAACTAATTTTCCTTTGATTATGGAGTAATTGTTTCCTCTGTTTCTTTAAACTTACGTAGAATTTTAAGCGATTTCGAGAAACTTGGTTCCCGTTTATTAACAAGAGTTGAGATGGTTGGACTGTGATTGGTAGTTGGACAGTGCCTGGTGGATATACGGTTAAATTGTTTTTATATCGTAAATTTCAGCTGGTTCATCCAAACAACAAGGACATTCGAGATATTCCTGGATTAGCCCCTCCCGCAATGACTCGAAAGCTGCTGTGGAATTCTTATTGACGAGAGCTCAAAATAGACCGTGTCATGAGATTGCCAAGATGGTTCGCATCATGCTCAAATGAATGTTAAACTTTCACCTTGTGATGCCGTTCTTGGCGCTGTTTTACGGAGCAGAAATGAAAACTTTATCCCCGCAAGTTTTGCTTTGGAGACGGGCTGGTTTTCTAGGAAGCAGCCTCGCTACTGTTGTTGTGCCGTTCTTATCATTGTTTCTTCCGTGACTGTAATACAATGTGTATTTTAGGTTGTATCGATTCTCATACATTACCTTGTAATTGTGTAATCACACTGTTTGGTAAATTATTTCATGCATCAAAATTAATATCTTGTTTCTGGCTATAACATCGTTCGTCGATTTAGATACCTTTTCATGAATATTCAGTCATTGACTCAATGCTCCTTGCAAACTTTCCAGTAGACATCGCTGGAATACTGCACGCATTGAGCGGCATTTTCAAGCCGACGAAAACATACAGGCGATCAGAGATGATTTGCATTCTTGTGGCGTTGGGATATGAATAAAACATGGATGATGAGTGATCTCTGAATTCCTCTTATGTTGTATGGTGGCTGAAATCAAACACCAAAAAAGAAAGATACCGAATTTGGGCCTCGTTTGGCAGCTCGGACTGTACTGACTATTTCTGTCGGATAGGATAAATAGCCACCGGATAGTACTGACTAAATTAGTCGGGTGTTTGGTGCAGTATCGGACTAGTGACCGTATTATTTATACTGTATTTGATATTATACTAGATAGGAGGCATCAAACTTTAAAAAAAAAAAAATTTTAAAAATGAAATCATTTTTTTGTTCCCAGGTCTCTACGCACCCCCCAAACACCCTCCCTCTCTCTCCCTTCTTCTTCCCCGACGGTAGAAGAATCCCAAATAATTGTTCCCCAGCTCTCTCCGCCACACCCCCCAAACTCCCTCCCTTTCTCTCCCATATTCTTCTTCCCCGACTAAATAATCCGGACGTTTTGGTTGGTTTTATTAAGCGGGTATATACCGTATTATCCTATCCGACCAGTTAAATTAATCCGGTGCTTATTTAGTACGAGTAAACGCCAAACACCCGGGTCCGTATAACTAATCATATCCGATCCTTTATCCGATTTGCCAAACAGGGCCTTGGTGTCATAGAATCCTTGATTACCATCCTTCACTTAATACTAGCGGTTATATCACAAAAGTTCCGGGTAATATAAGAAATGAATTTTTCCCATATAAACTGTATTAATTTGTTATATCTCCAACGTAGGACTCAATTCTCCGTTGTGTATTAGTTTTCGTGTCTGTAGTTGACGAGAAACTCTAAGATTCAATTTTCGGACTAACTCACCAATACGGACCCGAGCCAAAACAAAAAACACTCACTTACCCCACCTTCCTTATTTGTCATGCTAACCTGGCCCACTTTTAGTCCCCGTCCCACCCCTCTTTCTTCTCAAACAATCCAGATTGGGGGTGTCATACCCAAGGGAATTGGATCCACTCCGGACAAGGTCCGAAGCTTAGGGATCAATTCATTTGGACTGCACAAATTAAATCCAACGGTCCCCATTAACTTATTTTCCTAGGTCCACCACCACCATCGATTCTGATTTCTTTTACACACCAATCAACGGCCCAGATGATTTAATCCCTAGGCTCCATCGAGCAGATCCAATTCCCTACCAAAAAACCTCTCGTAGTTGACGTGTTGTGATACGCGTCGCTAATGCTAGTACTTCTCGTTACCAGATAAAGACAAAACTTGGGTGATGAGTTCAACGACGTCATTCATGAGAGGATATTTTACAAAAACAAACTCCATATATTTTGATTTCACCCGACTCCATGCTGCCAAGCTCAATGCAACTTTCGCCACTGAGATGACATTCCTGGATATCTCCATCTTATAAATAATCTGGGAAAATATTGACACAATACTCTTTACAAACAGACTGCAGAACACGGCAAGATGCCACATTTTCAACAAAACGGAAACACAGAGACAATTCCGAGATGACTTACAGTATTTCAAGTAAATCACGCAGAATTAACCTCAGATAAATTCACCACCAAGAAGCTAAATAACATCCCCCAAGATTATTCCCCACACATACTAAGGTAAGTTCCTCCTATACATGCCTGCCCATAAAAATGCTTCAATCATCACAGAAAAATACCATCGCGGCTATCACGACAACCCTTGGAATAACTCTGTTCAATGAATAAACAGAGGATCGATCAAGTAGCGCTCAAGCAGTTCTCCCATGTCCCGTACTTTGAGCTGAAACTTCCTCCACCGCTCTGCTGCGCAGTGCTCAGAAATAACTGCACGTGCACAAACATCCCAAGTCCTTGCTATCTCCCCAAGGGACATGGGTTGTGAAATGCTTCTTAGAGATATGCTAAACCTCGACTTGGCCTTCACAGAAAGATCTTCATACTCCTTACTGCAAAAGTAGAACATTTACAGCGAATTTATGCTTTAAAATTTGGCACATGAAAGCAAAAGGAGTACATGAAACTCAAAAGAGAACGAAAAATAATTGAGAGACTCTGTCTCATCGTCATGGCACCACATACTTTTACCGAGACAAACTATAAATTGAATTGGGAAATAGGGCATGCATCTAATGAGCACTTTTTTTTCATCGAGAAAAGATGACATTTGAATAAGGATTTCACCAGAATGCGGTAAAAGAAAAAGGGCACAAGCCCGTATGGCTGAGAATGCGCATTGGGAAACGTCTATGTAACAGCAGCAACATGTAAAGTCAGAATCCTTGTTTTCTCACCTGACTTCAACTGGAAACTTGTCCAAGAGAACCGGAGAGCAGTTGGGATAATTTGTAGGGAACAAGCAGTCTTAATGGCTGAATTGGTGACTGCAAAATATTAAAGCCAAGTAAATACCATATATTTAGTATTTTGGAGAAATGTAAAAAATCATGGCATTAACGTTTGAGAGCCCACCATTTGTGCTGAAGCATACTGCGATTTCAAGCTTGGACTGAGAGCCACGGCATCAAAAGAGCACTTGACAACAGTACCCTCACCCCCTTCGGCAGCGGCTGCACTAGGGTCAACATCTTCATCACTGATATCAACAACTGTGTCGATAAGCCGCCTATTTATTTCTCTTATTTCTTCCAGAAGAGCATGATTAGCCTGCAAGATAAGCCACACAATTATGTTCAATGAAGAAGCAGGAATAAGCCTTTTTATCAGACAATGAAAAACTACGAGTTAGAAATTCCTTAAATAAGCAAACATTGAGTCCAGATTAGCAATGGAGAGACGTACACACACCCGAAATAAAAATCATTCAACAAAAGTTATCATCTTGAACGGTTAACTCGCATGCAGGCAATGCCACTCAGAATGTACCAATTGTCAAAGCACGCCAGTCCAGTCACATAAAGTGTATGCATAGGTGCGCAGCAAAACAATTAGCTTTGAAGTCTTGCTAGAAATTTTCACTTTTTTATGTAAAACTTTAACTATTTCAAGTTTCCCCAACCACTGCTCTAACAATTGCAACAGCTATAATTTCTAGGAGTATATAAGAAAGATAAATACCTCAACCCTAGGCCTCTTAATACGAGATGTTGCAGTTGACTCCAGGTCAGATGTCTCTGAATTGATCAACTGCTTGAAACTATCATTCATACTACCAGCTGAAGACACAACATTTAAGGGCATGGCACTAGTGTAGCGCCTCATCTTCCTAGTCCCATTTGATCCATCCTGAGTCATAACATTTCTTGCTTGCAGACGACACTTTGTCATTGCAACCAAATCCTCACCAACTGCAGCTCTAGATCCATTACCCGGGGCTGACCCTGCTATCCTATCAATCATACTAACTACCGAGCCAATGTCACTGACAGATGCACTCAATGCATTAGGCGACATCGATTTCACCTGCAAGTTGAAAATACAGATATTTAATTTAAGCACAAGTGAGGGAAGGAAACGTAGTAAGTACTGAAACATCATTATAGCACTCAAAAAGAGAAAAATGTAAAATAAATCACTTTACTTACCGCCTTAATCAAGCGTTCAAGAGGCTGCTCGGTAACACTCGACTTGCCAGAAATAGTTGACAAAGCATTAACATGAGTAGCGTCTGGTACACTAAATTCAGCAAGCAAAGGAGAGGCTGATATCCCAGGGGTGCCAATTGCAAGGGACTGGACCGGTGCTCCCACCCCAGCTGCTTGTTGATGTCCAATATTCCCAGCATTCGATAGTGAGGAAGGTTTCTCAGAATCCCCTGGCATGGGGGATGGGGCCATGGGAGTTGAAGGAGATGGGATGACAAAAGGTGAACCAGCAGTTTGCAAAGGGGTTCCAGCTTTCGGGTGAGTCAGTATATTCTGCTGGTCAACTTGGGGAGAAGAATGTTGCGAAATTTGAGGAGATGCAGCCTGAAGGAGTTGGTTTGTTGATGGAATAGGAAATGGAGATCCTGGTTTCAACTGCTGTTGCGGATAAGCACGCTGGCCTGCGGGCATATGTTGCTGAAAAACCCCTGGCTTAACACCCATCCCCTGTCTCATCTTCAAGTCATTTACATCATTCATTTGATGAAGCTGTGGCATTTGGTGTTGGTGCACCTGCATCTGTGCCGGAAGCTGTTGCTTTGCTTGCTGCAATTGTTGTTGCTGCTGCTGCTGCTGCTTCTGCATAAATTGCTGCTGCATTCGCTGTTGATACTGTTGCTTCAGTTGATTCTGTAACATTTGATGTTCCTGCTGTTTCATTTGCTGGTGTTGAAGCATACCAGAATTTGACTGAAGGGAATTAATATTTGGCTGCAGCATACTAACCCCACTCTGTGATGACAAGGCATTCATGTTTGCTTGCTGGGGAGCACTGACAGGAGTTTGTTGGATAGATCCCACCGGAACTTGCTGCAAAGAGTTCAGTGCATTTCCCTGTCCAGAATCCAAATTTGTACTCGGCTGCAATGAATTCATCATGTTCTGCTGTGCTGTTGAAACCCCAGATATAGAAGACATCGAATTTTGCTGCAAGCTTGTCATATTGTTCTGCTGCATTGTTGGCACAGAACCTTGTAAATTCATTGTTTGCAACTGCGGGTTCATTTGATGTTCATGAGACTGCACTTGAGTAATTTGGGATTGCGGCTGCTGCATGGAGTGCATATGAGGTGGGGGGAGCTGCCCTTGTTGCAGAGGAGGAACTTGCTTCCTTGGTCTATTTGTATTGATAAAATTTACTATCTGCTTCTCGTATGTACCCAACTTCTCTTTGAAGCCAGGTGTAATGTTACTCTTGGGAAACTGTAAGACTGATATGAGGCGCTCCAACATGGTTTTGAACATTTTTAGCTTCTCAAGCTGCTCGGACTTTGGTTGTTGTGGAAGAGAATCGTGCTGGCAAACAGAAAGAACAGACGTCAGTAAGCAAAAGAACGGCAATATAAGGAGTAACAAGACTTTGTTGCAAAAAGTTATTAGCATTATTGGTGAGGTAATAATCACATGTTGACTGTCTACAATAGTTAAAAGGGAGATCTACGTAGAATCTATCAGAGAACATCACCGCAATAACCTAGCAGGGAAAGCCCGCTTATTGGTAAAAGTTCAAACAACAATATGAGAGAAAGAAAAAAATTGAATTGATTACATACCTGCTGAAGTTTGGTAGCAATTTTCTGATACATTTCACTTAGTTCGGGAAAGTACAATTCCTTCATGCTTTTGATCTGCAAATGAAAGTCGTAAGTACAAAGATGATGAGAAAGAACTTTGCTGCATCTACATGCTTGCCAACGCCATCATATCATCAATGTCAATGGAAAAGATCCCGTGTATGCAACCATGAATTCAGACAGCATGAGATCATGTATGCTTGTGTCTAATGAAGCAAGTTTTAATTAACTCCCAACCGATGGAAGCTTAACAAAGCTGCCCCACAATCAAGTTTTAGTTAACTCCCAACAGATGGAAGCTTAAGTAGTATGTATTTCTTTAAAATCCCCAATCAAGGCAATTTTGGCATTAGTATAATTATTTTCCAGTGGCTCTATTCCCAACCCCCACACCTAATTATTTGTATTTTATGTTAAAATGTTGTATGTGAAAGCCATCAATAGGCAAGAAGTCTGGCCATCTTACTTTTTGATAGACCTCCTCTTGCCAATCACCCCCAGTTGCATGTCCAGTCTGAGCTGTGGAATCTAGAGATGCTACAAAATACACAGGAATATATGTCAATGTTTGCACATGAAAATAACTTTGGGCACGAGGGTTAAAAATCAGAAGAAAAAAAAAAAAAAGCATTGCATTCAAACATTGACAAAAATGGAAAACAATCGTTCCCAAAACAGTTGAACATGTATTTTTTGTAAAACAAAATATAAATATCATTCCAACATCATAAGCAACCTAGGAACAGACTAGAAGCTTCATGAGCCAAAGGGAACAGGACCATGCATGCACAAGATTGTAGATAATACATCCATAGGCAATGACATTTAGTAAACATGGAAGTCCACCAAAAGCTCTTTATCTATAAACCAATAGAAGCAAGACTGAAGAATAAAAACCCATATTTTCAAAACCAAAGGTATGAAAGGCACTTCAGATGCGATTTTGCTCCTACTTTATGCTTATGAAGGCAATTACTTCTTTTATGGGAAGAATTTCAAAGGTTCTATTTCTTTTGTTTAAAAGTAATTGTGGAGTTAATTATCAAGAGAAAAAGGGTTAACATTATGTAAGAACATAAGAATAGCCTCTCTATCACAATAGCTCATGAAAAGCCAAAGATGCAAAACTAAAGTCAAAGGCAACAGAAGCTTCAGCTTCCACCAGTAAATTGCTCGAAAGAACTCTGATGGCAAACATGTAGCACCAGAGGTGAAAGGTAAACTTATGGTAATTACGGTGGTCCATAAACCTAATTTTAGGCATAGACGCAAAACTCATAACTAGGCTATTTATATAAATTCTATTCTGTTAGTCGGGTTTAATAACCTATGTCCTTATCCTCGTGGACTATTATTTACTATAATTATTTCATTTCCTTGGGGGTTTTACTTTAGATTATATAACCACGTCAATCTCTATTACTCAACCCTAGTTGAGCCTATGGATATTAAGAATACAAGATTAACTTTCAATTTATTTTTCTTTCAGTTTGGTATTTAACTTCTTTTATTTTTCCTCCACTGTGCTGCAACATATAGTATAATAGTAGTCAATGCCCTCTGTTCCTTTTATATACACTTAAACCACACTGATCATCCAATGACCAAATATAAATCTCAAGTCCACTACACATATCAACCTTAGCTCTACAGTTTCACTGTGACCACATATTGTGCATAGGAATCTGGTTCTCCATTCCATGATGGCTAGATGCTGAAGGAACTAGCAAAGAACAGAAATTATCGTGTTTGACAGAGAAGGATGATGCATCTCTTTAAAAGTGATGGTGACAACGAACATGTGATGGGAAGGTGGGATACACCTAGTTGGCATGATAGCCATGCGTAAAAAATTCTATTGACCAAGTCCAATGCACATCCATGTTATTTTCTAATACAAGAAGTTACATATGGTAAAGATAAAATTCCAAAACTAGATTATTTTCCATAGACAGTCTAGACCCCTACATCTGGCAACCATAACAAAATAATATATTACCAAAGTCATGCAAAAACATTGTTCCCCCATAAAAACATATAATGAAGACCGTTTTTAGTAACAAAATCAGATCATCACATAAAAATGACTGTTATTTACTCATAATATAATATGTAAACTGATCCAAATGGCACATAATATGAAAGTAAAATAAAAATATAAAACAAGATTCTGTCCAAAATGTGCAGCTATGATAATCCAGATATCATGAAAGCACATGCATATAAGAAGGAAAGTGCATAAGTGCAAAAAACCATACTCGATGATGTCTCAGGATGGGCTCTTTGAGTTTGATATAACTGCTTTTGCTGATCCATTACGTTTTGTGATTGAAGCCTGGTTCCTGATATCTGACCTGATGCTTGAAGTCTTTGTTGCATATCTCGTTGCAGTGGATTTGACTGCTGTTGCAAACTCATTTGTTGCATCTGGGATGCCTGAGGTTGTGACTGCTGTCCTTGAGAAGGTAACATGTTAGATGCATTCTGATGTTGTTGTTGCTTGCAACAAGTGTACAGAGTGCTGATTTGGTTGCATGCTAGAATTACCACTTTGAGTTCCGAGGTGCTGCTGTTGCTGTAATCCAGTAGCATTACTCTGAGATCCCAACTGTTGCTGATGCATATTTGAAAGGTTGCTTTGCTGCTGTTGCTGTAACCCAGGTAACATTACTCTGAGGGCCCAATTGTTGCTGATGCATATTAGAAAGGTTGCTTTGTTGAGCCATTAACTGCTGGTGTTGTTGCTTTTGCTGTTGATGCTGCTGCTGTTGTTGTTGCAGGTTTAAAAGATTATTCTGCTGGCTTAGCAACCTCTGTTGTTGCTGCTGCATATCACCGACATTGTTTTGTTGTCCAATCATCTGATTCTGGGACAAGTTTGAAGCAGTTGCCTGTTGCACCATAAGCGGCTGCTGCTGCTGTTGCTGGGGTAATATTGGCTGTTGTGGCATTGGTGTTTGCTGTTGATGAACAGCGGCCTGTTGAGCCTGCTGTTGCTGCCTGAGAACTGGCTGTGAATGCTGCTGAAGCATGGGTTGTGATGACTGTTGCATAGCAGATTGTTGATTCTGCTGAAGACTCGAGAGCGATGATTGAACCGAAGGCTGCATAACAGATGATGTTGGCATAACAGATTGCTGTGAAGACTGCAGCTGAGTCGGTTGTAATAGGTTTTGCTGCTGTTGCTGTTGCTGTTGTTGTTGCTGTTGCTGTTGCTGTTGCTGTTGCACAAGTTGCAGCTGTTGTGGGTACATATATTGCTGCGAATTCTGGGATTGCTGCAGCTGCTGCTGTTGGGGAACTACCTGTTGCCTTCCTGGCACTTGCCTTGAATTAGCAAACATATTGGAGGGTACCCCCTGGCCCATGGAGTTCCCTAATGAGTTCTGTGAACTTCCAGACATATTTTGCATGTTTGGATTTTGTCCAACAATACTTGGGATAGAAGTCTGGGTTAAACCGGAAGAAGGAGGTAGTGCAGATGATAAGCCAGACGAAATTTGAACTCCAGCAGGCGGAACGTTATTCTGGATGTTCTGTGATAAAAGTTGTTGGCGTCCTTGAGATTGATTAGCTGGCAACGGCATAGAGAGTGATTGCCCTTGATTGGGGACTTGGGGTTGCATAGGAAAAGACCCTACTCAAGTAAAATAGAAAGAATAAACATCACATAAACAAGCGTCAAAACAAGAATACATTAAATGTCATTTATACTCATCATTTGACCCATTAAATACAAGCGAATAAAGACATCAAGAACGAATCATCTCAGTTAAGAAATGCGGAAGTAATTAAGAAAAACAAAGAATGTTTCTAGCAACTAATTAATGATCACGAAGAAAGCTACCTGGGAGAGAAAAGGGTAGCTGAGAGCATAATTAAAATTTGCATCAAATAGGAGTGCAGTTTTCAATAGTTGTTTTTACCTGGATCCGGAGGCCTGTTGCTGTTACCAGCAGAGTTAGACTGTAAGGAATTGGCCATTGAATTCTGAGACTTGGTCTCCATTGTGAGCATCTTCAGCGAAATTTTCCGTAGATAATCCGACTGTAAAAATAAAAGAAATCCATGCTAAACTTAGAATACAATTCTATCCAAAAACAAAGAAAGTTGAAACATAGACAACATTTATTTAAGAAATGACATAAGTAATAGATCAATACGTATTAAAGTACGCATACATGTCATGCACAATGAAAAATTAAAACCCAATATCATGGATGTACCTGGCTTGTGGCTGCAGTATAAATCTTTTCCTCAAACCTTACAGCAATTTTCTTGAGTTCCAGTAATCCCTCCTGTCCGGAGAAGGGAAGATGCCTCTTCAACGTATCCATTCTATACATGCAATAAATCAACATAAGTTACTGACTACCAATGCATGGGGGTAGCGTTGATAATATCAAAACTGGAATCATATTCAATCCCCTAAAATCTGTTTTTTAAGTTCAAATTCCTCTCCCCTTAGTTTCGATTAGATTATGCTAGATTACACTACCGCTCAAATAAAAAAATTCCAGACAAAGAAAAACACTTACATCTTGTTGACAATTCTTTGCCTTGAATCAGCCTGCAGCTGACTCCTCCAATCACCGGCATCCATGGCAGGCTCTCCACCTTGAGGAGGCCTCCAGTTGGTATCCATCAAATCCAATGAACCCAACAAAACTGGCAAACACAAAGCACAGGATTGAGCAATTTCAACCAAAACCTACGAAAAGAGCACAAAATTCGTACAAAAGTTGGCTATTCGAACGACGATACAGTTAATAATTACGCAAGCATTTTTTGCATCAGAAATTGCATTCATTCAAGCTGATTCTAAACACGAATCGATTTAGGTAGGCATGAAAAATCAAAACTTTGAAATTCATATACAATCGAAAACCCGATACGATTTACGCCAATCAGATCACAAAAAAACCAACAAAACGAATTTCACACATAACCCTCGATCGATCAACATCTGAAACAAAAAAACCCAACAAAAATTGATCGAAAAATTACGTCTTCTCTTTCAACAGGAGAGTTAAAGATTGGAAGGTCCAGGCACCTTGGAGTGAGAAAATGGAGAAATTGCCGAACTGGGAAATCGAAGGATTGGGAAAGGAAGGAGGGTTCTTGCTCAAAAGCTTCAAACTTTGAGAAGATTGAATGGATTGATGCGTCCGAATGTTGTCATTTTCGTTTAAAGTAGGAAGGGAGAAACAACGAAAGATTCTATTTTTGCCAATGTCTGACAAAAAGACAATAAAACCACTGTCCTTGGTCTTTGTAAGTTACCAGTTGCCACTTTATTCTAAAACCTTCTAGGCTTTCTAGTCAAAAACCCAAGAGGATAGGAAATCTTCCAACTGAGTCAAAAGAACAAAATAATAGTACCCTTCCAGTGGTTATAGATAACTAGCTTCTCAGCAAGCGTCACAAGCGTGCAAACTGGCTTTTGAACGGCAATTGATACGGTGGTGTTTCTCTAGTTTTGTGTTTTAGTTGATCGCTTTGAAACTTATTTATTCATAATAAATAAGAAATTGGTGTATTGGTTGTTGGTGTAATAAGTTAGTGTATCTAAATAGACTCAATTTGTTATATTTATTAAATTATTAAATTTATCATTTATATGGATAGTGTTATTCACATGCACATTTTTACCTCTTATACACCTTTGTTAATTTTGACTCTTAATCTTCAATCATCTATCTGATCCGACAATCGAAAATTGAGAGAAGTGTGAGAAGTAAAAATGGGTGTCCAGAGATCACTATCATAATTATATAACTTGACACTTACTCTTTTTGGAAGAAGAACAGAACGAGAATGCAATTAACAATTTCTCAATTAATCTAATTCTTGACTTTTTAGGTATTAAATCACATATAGTAAGAGTGTCATGCAACTTTCATTTTCATGTGTTAATAAATGTAAGAATCCAAATGACCATTAGTACAAAGGTAGAAAATGTCAAATATTATGAAAGACGGGCCACTGTCCCACTTCTGACCACACAAATATTTTCAACTTAACCATTTATTACTAGATTTTAGATTTTATTACCAAAAACCTCAGTTTTATTATGAGTGAACCATACACTTACCTATTGTGTTTTATTTTCTCAATCCCCTAGGTATTGCAATTTTTATTCTCTTTAACAAAAGTCAATACATTTGATATCCCCTATGTAAAGACATGTCCCCAAATATTTCAGTTTTTATAATTTTATTGCATAAGACTCTTTTTGTCACATCCCAGCCCCGGCTGGATCACTTCCCGAGCCCGCTCTACTAACCGTAGCACTATATGTCCGCTTTGGGATTACCATTCCCTCACGATTTTGTTTTTGGGAACTCACAAGCAACTTCCCAGTGGGTCACCCATAATGGGATTGCTCTAGCCCCCTTCTCGCTTAACTTAGGAGTTCCTACGGAACCCGAAGCCAGTGAGCTCTTAAAAGGCCTCGTGCTAGGTAGGGATGGGAATATACATTTAAGGATCACTCCCCTGGGCGATGTGGGATGTCACAATCCAGCCCCCTTAAGGGCCCGACGTCCTCGTCGGCACACGCCCGACCAGGGTTAGGCTCTGATACCAAATTGTCACATCCCGGCCCGGGGCGGATCACTTCCCGGGCCCGCTTCACCACCGTAACACGATATTGTCCGCTTTGGGCTTACCATTCCCTCACAGTTTTGTTTTTGGGAACTCACGAGCAACTTCCCAATGGGTCACCCATCATGGGATTGCTCTAGCCCCCTTCTCGCTTAACTTAGGAGTTCCTACGGAACCCGAAGCCAGTGAGCTCCCAAAAGGCCTCGTGCTAGGTAGGGATGGGAATATACATTTAAGGATCACTCCCCTAAGCGATGTGGGATGTCACACTTTTCCTTGGCATATCCTTGTAGGACTCGTTGTTATGAACATGTGGGCACAAACGAAATCGAATTTGGAGCTAAGATGGAGATTTTACAAAATCACAAACATGAAGGGCAATTCGGTAATTTTATGTTCGGAGATATTTTTTGTGTGTGTTGTTTTGTGAGCCATGGGGCCCACACCCCCACTTCTCCTTCTTCCCCTTATCCTCCCCTCCCCCAATCACTCAGACCCTCTCGGACACTTTCTCCCTTCTTGTCTCTCTCTTATCTCTGCAAATCTCCCCTCTCTAAGCCCAACATACACAACAACAACAACAACACCCACCACCATTGTCATCAACTTAGCCACCATTGGGCCTTTGTCGCTCTCTGATCTCCCTCATCTCTCCTCCTTGTATGTGCACGCTGCACAATAAAGCAGAAACCACATGTCATCATCGACGAGAACCGACGGTACCCTCTTATTTCCCGGCCTCAGTAAAGACTTATGTCATTCCATTTAGTTTAGTTTCGATTTCTAGCTTGATTTCGAGCTTACACACGAGCTTTGGATAAGCTAATGCAGAAAACAACTCGGGGAAACATTTCCCAAATTTTTCGACGAGGTCCAACAGCTTTCGAGCCATTTTTCGACCAACTCCGGCGATAGCTAGCCACGAGATAGGTATATTCCTCTTCCTTGTTTCTCCAGCTTTAAAACCATATATTATGCGTTAGTTTTGGTTGAGTTTTGACCCTAAAACGGAGCCGGGGAACCTTCCCCGCCATTTTTCCAGAATCTGGCCTTTTTCTTCGTTGGGTCCAGCAACCCACGAGCCCAAACAAGTCAAACCCAATCCGCAACCCATAATTAGGCCCAACCCAATGGTGGGGCCCAATCCAATAACTCGGCCCAAACCTTGGGCCATGTAACCCAAGCCCTTGCCCCAACCTAGCTATCGGCCCAACTAAGCAAAGCCTAAATCCGACTCAAATCCAATCCAATGTTACATGGTCAGCGCATGGCCCCCACGTAGAGTACACGGGCCTCTACAGGAGGTACTGTGCTATGTCGTTGTCTATGGCGATGCTGGCGAATTTTTCAGTGACCCAACTCGGAGCGTGGCAGCGTGTGGCCTCCTAGGCTGCCACCCCATGGCAGCGCGTGGGGCAACTCGAGGTCCCTCGTTAGGTTTTTCGACGTGTCGAATATGAATCCGATGTCTATTTTCCCAAATTCTATCATTTTAGTAAAGTTTGATTAAATGGTCTCCATTTGTTTTTAGGAGCATCGGTGGAAAGTGAGCTTGTCCTCGCTAGTTTGAGCAGTTCCCATGCAATGGCATATTTTAGTGTACAACATATGTTGCCTGTGTGTGGAGATAAAAATGGAAGTATGAATAGCCGCCATTAAAATCAAGGGAACTTTAACGAAAAGCTCCCGGTACTATTCACTTTAACGAAAAACCACATTTTTACTCTAAAAAATCAATCCTGATACTATTCACTTACAACACGTTTTTGTCCTTTTTGTTAAAACTCAAAGTTTTTAAGTCATTTTCATTAGTTTTCCTTAAAATCAAGGAAGGAAAAATGAATTAATTAAATTAAAAAGGAACTGTCTTATTCTCTTAAGCCCCAAAACAAGGAAGAATCAAATCAATTTATGTAATTGCTAAACAATATGATATAGGCATCAACAATATTCAAATGGAATAAGGCAACAAGATGGGTCTTACTTGTCAAAGCTGATTCCTTTCTAGTGATAAATAATGGCCACGAACAGATGGTGGGAACAGAGGGTCACGAACCAGACGAGCAAGGGACCATCGGAGTTACAGCAAGAGCTGCATATGCTAGCTTAATGAGACAAGGAGACCAAGGCTATCAATTTGGGGGCTCTCTCACATGTAAGTTTCCCCACAAAAATTGATTCAATATAAAGCCTATTGATTTTGGGGGCTCCCTTAAATAATTTGTTTTTCATAGTTTATTTATGAGATAAGATTAAAACAAGCAAAGGTTTGTAATTTCTTATTCAACTCTTACAAATGCATTTTTTGGTATCACAAAACTCGGCTTTGGCACGTCATTTGATCGCAAGGTAAACAGTACATTGCCGCCTCGTACAGTTACATCCTATATTAAAAAAATTGAAGTCTATCCAAATTTGAAACGTAGAACAAAATCTCAAAGGCCTTTGAAGATCCTACAAGGTATCTTTTGCATGGGAAAGGTGATGGAGGGCTAATGCCACGTGGTTTGCTGCTAAAGGATGTGAGCAAGTTGGAAATCATTTTAAAACTCTATGATGTTGCAGTCTTAAGTTTTGCTTGTGTTCAAAGCTAGGTATGTTTAAACTTCTTTTTTATCATTTATTTTTCTATAAAATTCAATGTTTGAAATATAAGCACAATTCATAGACACAAAAACCCCAAGAAAATGACCCTATTTCTTATTAAAAAAAAAGACTATGTTTCTTCCTAATCATAATGTGTAATTTAGTTTCTCTGTTGTCCAAATATTTATAAAATAATCAAATGGTGTAGAACGCGAACTCAATATGCTAAACGTGTCGTTCAATGAATCATACACCAAACAAATGTAATTTTTTGATATTGAATATGTGTTCATATTATAACCATACGGTTCTATTGAAATTTGAACGTATGTTCTTGATTTGTCCTTGGAGAAATCAAATAAGACTACCTATGTAGCATGATAATTAATATCAAATCAAATAAGACGGAGAGAGATTCACTTCAGATCTCACTGTCCGAAGTCTAAAGATCAGACAGTTTGGACCGTTTAAATTGAATCCGACGTTTCCCGTTAAATCATTATGTTGGTCCATCTTAACAAACTAAGTGCTCTGATTTCACTTTCACACAAATCATGGACTCGGATTTTCTTATCCTTAAGTTTCGGATACTAAGGTACCCAAATTCTGATATGACTACCCATGTAGCAGGATAATTAATGGCATAAGATAGGATGTTAGACAAGGTCAGAAAATTGGTGTGGCCAACGTGACAAACACAACTCAAAGAGGAGTGCCATGAAGCTCCAAAATAATGCAGCTGCTGACAAGATTAGTTGGCCAACTGCTTAACACGAAAATGTGTCACGGACAAAGAGGCTCCGTACCCGCCAAAAACTCAAATTAACAAATTGCTTAAGGGTCAAATTATCACTTTATCTCCTGTCTAATCAACTTTAAAAGTCTATTAAAATCTTTTGCTTTTTTCCTAATTTTCTATTAGAGAAAAGATAAAGATGCAGATAGAGAGATTTGCAGCTTTTTGCTTGCTGAATAAATAAAAGCAGGAACTAGGAAGGAAATTAGGCCAACGGTTAGCTTTCTTCCCTCCAAACCCTTGTGATTCCCTTGGAATCAAAGATAAACCCCCTTAGCAGTTGGATTTCTGGTCACCATCTGAACCCAGATTCACCTTCCTGACATACTCTCTGCACCCTTCTCTTGCTTCTCAAATTGCTTAATATCCCCCTTCTTATAAATTTCAATTATGTTCATGTTTTTTATATTTGAGGTCTGCCCAGTAAAGAATTTGACCCATTCTGCAAGTTTTGTGCTTTTGGGGTGAGAGATTTAGGCCTTGGAAAATTTCGGTTGTTGGGGTTGTGAAGATTTTGGTGTAAAGATGATTGATTTGTGCTTTTGAGTGAGAGATTTTGGCCTTGGAAGTTTTTGGGTTTTTGGAAATTCTGGTGTGTAGTTGATTAATTTTATGGTATGATCCAATAAAGTTATTCAATTTCAGGTGCTTTTGTATAAAGCTGTAAGCTTTCTTGGATTTTCGAATATTTAGAGTTGGGTTTTGGAGGGGAGAGATTTTCAGAGGTTTGCAGTTCATTTGCAAACTGAAGGCTGAAGCTTTTTCAGATCCAAAAGTGCGTTTGGCTGCTCAACCCAATGGTATTTTTCACCTGTGTTGCTTCATTTAACTCTCATGACTATACTTGAAGAAAACATGAAAAAACATGAAAGTTGCATGAATGTTATGTAACACAAGCTTTCCATCAAACCCGACTGCAATTGCAGCCCACCACACATTTGTGAAAACTCCCAGCACAATTTTTGTGACACAACTCTCATATATTTCATAACAGCCTCCCAATTTCAGTTCACACCATATAACACTTGTATAAAGCGCCATATTTATAGTTGCCAATAGAAACATAGAATCATAGAATCATTCTTCTATGGATAGCCGTTACATATTTCAACCAGAACTCATGTGCCAAACTGCTTTCGCTGCGGTTTCAGTTTCCTCAAATTCTCCGGGAGATGATGGTGCGGCAGTTAGTTTGGTCAGGACAAGGTCCTCTAGAGCTCCTCCTTCATTCTTAATGAGAATGGCAATGAGAATATCTAGAGCAAGGTGGTTCACCTTCTTGAGAAGAGTCTTCCACTACCAAAATGGTTCGAGGTCCAATCTTGGATCAAATCCTTTCGATAACAGCACTTGGATGATGCTGGAATTCATGGCTTTGGTTGTTCAAATAGGCGTGACCACGATTACCTTGGCTGTTTCGAAGGAGGAGAGGCCGGTTTGGCCTATGAGAATTTGGATTGTTGGGTATGATATTGGTTGTGTTCTCAATATGTTGGTGCTCTTTGGGCGTTACAGGCTACTTTATCTGACTCAAAGTGATGGTTTCAACCTCTCCGATGTGGAACAGCAGAGAAGCACTGAAGATTCCAGGTACTTTTTTTTTTGGCTTCGGTTACTTCCATATAGTTACGAAAGATTTGTGCAAGTATATACGGAGTAAATCACATGGAATTTTTTACGTTTCGGAGTTTGATATATGGAGTACAACGTATATGTGTACAGGACCACACATTTGATGAACAGGTGTAGAACCTCACTCGAGCTCTTCTTTGCCGTATGGTTTGTGATGGGTAATGTTTGGGTCTTCGATTCTCGCTTTAGTTCGTTTACTGGAGCCCCGAAACTCCATGTGCTCTGCATCTCTCTGCTTGCTTGGAATGCCATTAGCTACTCCTTTCCCTTCCTGCTGTTTGTGCTGCTATGTTGCTGTGTACCCCTAATTAGCAGCCTCCTTGGATACAACATGAATATGGGATCCATCGATAAAGGAGCTTCTGATGACCAAATTTCTCAGCTTCCCAGCTGGAGATACAAAGAGGTTAATGCCAAAATAGTCGGAAATGATTGCGATTCAGGATCCCTAAATGATGATCCAGTAAGTCATAGTCATATATAAAAAGCTAATTTGGCCTTGTTATATTCATATAATCTTTGTTCTGCTTGCGGTTTCTTTACACGCGAGAATCTCCATTTTTCTTGCTTCGATGTACAGTCCTAGCAGTTGAATCCCTTAACTTTCTGGAGTCAAGAGCTTTTGGAATCGAAACCTCCGATTCTCCTCTCCATTTATTTGTCAACGTAATCTGAAAAGTAGAGAATGGGGTTGTAATTTATACCTATATGCGGTACAAACTTAACTTTTGAGGTCTACTGGTTATCTGAACTATATCGCGTCAAGAAACGCCTTGTAATCTCACATGGCGGCTCATTAATTTCGTCTCTTAATCCTTTTTCGTGTGCTCGCAGGATTGCTGCATTTGCCTGGCAAAATACCGAGACAAGGAAGAAGTACGGCAGTTGCCATGTTCCCATATGTTTCACCTCAATTGCGTCGATCATTGGCTCAGAATCATATCTTGCTGTCCTCTTTGTAAGCAAGAACTGCAGAGATAGGAATTACAACAACAAAATGGTTGAGTTTTTTCTTCTTCTTTTTCTTCGATTCTCTCTTTTTTTTCAGCGTGAACTTACGCGGTTACTCGAGCGAGTATTTTGCCTGTACAGGGGAGCTCACCAGTAACTAAAGTATACCCAAATTTTACAGTGGTTGAATATACAAATAGGTAGCAAGAGAATGATGTTGGTATCCTTACAAATTTCTCCCGTATGTATACCAAAAAAAAAACACATTCTTTTTCTAAGTTTTATTAATATTATGGAATAACTCTGTTTGTGTAAGTTTATCTTATACTGTCGGTCCAAGGTTGGATAACAGAGGAGAGAGAAGGTGTCAGATAGTCAACAGTCGGCACTCTATTTTTCACGACAAATTTCTATGACTTTGTTTGTTTTAATATTCTGGAATATATGTACATGGAAATGCACTAAAGAATGTATCAAACCTTCGTAATATTCATTAAAAGCTTGTGCTTTAATACTTTACCTTTCTGATTTCTGCTTGGAAAATGTGACTTTAAGGCTCTAGATTGGATGGAGTTGTTAGATAGAAGGGGTTTTTCTTTAACTCACGCATTCTGAGTTCAAACTATCGCTTTTTTTTAGAGGAGCTTAGAATAGTAATATTGTTTGTAATTATAATCTGTGTTTTCGAGAAAGTTACGAATGACGTGGTTGATACTTTATAAACTTAAAATATATTAATTGTAAATAACAAACTACACTTGTTGAATATGAATGGTGACAGCTACAATGAAAAATCTATCCTGAATATAAAGACTCTAGTTATCTTCCTAACCCAATTTCCCAATAATTTTTTTTTAATTTTTTTTTTCGAAAAAGAGGACCAGCGGGTGACTTTGTCATAACAGTCTACCATTTTGGGGGCCTAAGAAGACTCATAAAGGCATTTTATGCCTCCTCTTGACCATCATCGCATGAGTCACCAATGCTAAGAATCTAACACAGAACATGCAGTGTTAAATACGGGTCTGAAATTGTCATTTAGTACTACGGTCTCATCTTATTCATCTTCACTTTTAAGTAAGAGGTCTTATGTTCGATTCTCTTTAAAAGAAAATTTGAACCACATTATTACTAGTTTATTAAGAGGCTAAACACATCCCCTTTCTCTTTAATGTAAAAAATATCGTTTGTTTAAAAAAAATATACAGACCTGAAATTCGTCAACCTGTAAACTACCCATAATAGTTCATTTCTCAATATTTCGAACTCATCCCAACTCAAGCCCAATACATGCGACTACAACTGAAACGGGCTCTTTTATGAGAAGCAGGCCGGGCAACGAGCCCATGCATATTATAGCCTTTAGATGCCACCGAGTCACCGCACCGTCTTGAAGAGGTGGGTTGGGGGTTGACTTTTGCAATTGGACTTGGCAGGCTGGCTCCTGGCTCACCTACTTTGACTGAGGACGGAGGTAGGGGGTGGTTGGTAGATGCCAATCTTATCGAAGTTTATTTGGGATTATTATTGATGGGCACAACTTGGATAAGAACTACATTGTCCTAAATTTGTCTTTCTTCTAACCACACTATCACGATTTAGTAGGTCGAAAACGAATTTAAAGCTTATATTTTTATGACACATTTTAAGTTCGATTCTGGCATTAGAAAATCATACTACGATGATTAGAAAATGTTAAAATACTTTTGTAAATCTTTTTGCAAATATAAAAATAAACTATCATGACGAAACTATCACCTGATCTCTTTAGCATAAAGAAGAAATTTGTCTTTTTCTTTCTCTCAATTTCCTTTTTTTTTTTATTTGGATACTTTTTCTGATATAAAAAAATGGTAATTCCAAAGCCAACCAGACGTGAGTTGTTGCCAAACTCTCTCTCTCTCTCTCTCTCTCTAGAGTTCAAAGCTTGGGGCGGCCATTTGAAGACACAACTCCTTCTCCTGCTGGCATTTAAAGACCCAACTCGTCCTCCTCTTTCTTCTACTCTCGTTTTAAAAGCTCATACCTTCTCCTTCTCACACCTCACCCGTCACCCTTCTCTCTCTCTACTCTCTCTAAATCTGCAGAGAAAATGGGTGATTTGAGGTCTAAGTTCTTGGGGGTTTACTCTGTTTTGAAATCTGAGCTTCTCAATGATCCGGCTTTTGAATTCACGGACGTTTCTCGTCAATGGATCGAACGGGTATTTCCATCTATCCCTTTAATCTGTTTGTAATTCATAAGTCAATGTGCATAGCAGTGAAAGATTAAATCTTTATTCAATATTTTTTTTTAATATTTTGATTGTTGGTGTTACTGTTACATCCAGTTGAGTTTTGTAAGATTTTCTGCTTTGGATTTTGGGAGGGGTGTGATCCTTCACTCTGTTGAAAGGAAAGTGTTTGAATCGAGGAAGATTTAATCTTGGCTGTAAATTTTTTATGGGATTGCTTGTTAAGGCTTCGATTGGTGAGATTCTGTTGAAATTTTGTAGTAGTATTGGTTCCGATCTGATTTGGTAGTCTTAATTGGCTCGAAAGCATTTGTTTTTCGTCGAAGTAAGACGACATTGCTGCAATTGTTTGTTTTGCTTGTATTCTACATGAACTGCCCAATCCCATAGTACTAGAGACATTCAATTACAATGATTTAGTTTAGATTGAATGATTGGATTTATCGCATGGATTTGAGCTCATTTGGAAGTGCTTTTGGTACAAATATTTTTGGAACCAATTCTTAGTAAAGGTGCAAGTGAATCCTGGAAAGGATGCATTTAAGTGCTTTTTCAAACCCAAAAACTTTCTGCTAAAAATGCTTTCAATCATTTTAAAAGCACAAAATTAGTGCTTCTTGCAGTTGCAGGAAGCACTTTAAGTGATTTTAGTTTCCAAATTTTTTTTTGTTAAAAGCTCTTTCGATCATTTTAAAAACACCTCCAAATTTGATTAAAAAAAAAAAAAAAAAGCACTTCCAAACGCCCTTTGTCTTGTTGTGAATGTTGATGGTCGAAATAAAAAGGAACAATGAAAAATAGGAGAAAAGTTATAGCAGTGATCTTCTGAGGTGAGAGGCTTGATGAATCGAGGCATTGCCCTTAGAAGAGCCAAAGATTAAAAAATGACTAAAATACGATTAAGATGGAATACATACTTATCAGGAAATATGATTAGAGAGCTGCTATTTGCAATTGAGAAAAGTTGTGCTACACTCCTCCTTGTTGTTTAGTGTTAAGGAGTGTAGAATGACGGTTTTGGAATGCTAATGATAAGTTCTGATTAGTTAAGGTGAATGTCAAATAACTGATATGGAAGAGTTTCTGATTTGATTTATCCATATATAAGGTGAAATTATAGTAGCAGTTTGTAAATCTAAATTACACTGTTGTATAAGCATACATATGTGTGGATATGTGTATGTGTCTGGGTTAGTAGTTGTTCTTCCGCACCTAGATTGTTGGGTTGAAGGCCAATGTATGTATAAACAAGTCTTGAGCTTGAGAAGACCGTGAATTTGAAGAAAGTGTTTGACAGATTACGGAAATACAGTCTTTGTCTTTGTCATATTTCATACTAATATTTGTATGTCCTAATTGAATCGTTGTGCCCCGTTTGTTTCAGATGCTGGACTACACTGTGCCAGGAGGTATAGAAATGTCACGATTTCTAATTTTTATTTGACTTCTTTGTGATAGAACTTCTGCTCATAATGCTTTTGCTGTTTGCAGGAAAGTTGAATCGAGGTTTATCTGTTGTTGACAGCTTAAAATTACTTAAGGATGGAAAGGACCTAACGGATGATGAATTTTTTCATTCATCCGCACTTGGATGGTGTATTGAATGGGTAGGACAACACATAATAGCTCCTACTGTTTATCATACCTCCACACCTCTCGTCTGCATTGGTTACAAACTTACAACAGAATTCTGACCTTCATTTTTATTGAATTTTGCAGCTTCAAGCATATTTTCTTGTTCTTGATGATATCATGGATGGCTCTCATACACGTAGGGGTCAGCTGTGCTGGTTCAGACTACCAAAGGTGAGAACCTCTAACACGACTGATGCTTTTCTTTGTGCCTTTCTCTTTTTAATTGCTATGAATATTCTAAAGTTCATAATTGTTAATCCTAGATTGGCATGATTGCTGTGAATGATGGCATACTACTTCGCAACCATATCCCACGAATTCTCAAAAAGCACTTTAGGGGAAAGCCCTACTATGTGGATCTGCTGGATTTATTTAATGAGGTGGAGTTTCAAACAGCTCATGGACAATTGATAGATTTAATTACCACTCATGAAGGAGAAAAAGATCTATCAAAGTACTCATTGTCGCTGTAAGTAAATATTATGACGGTTTCAAATTTATATGATTGATTCCCAATTAAATCTATTTCCTTTTCCTGTTTCTAATGCTCAAGTGGTTGTCTTTTCATGCAGTCACCGCCGCATTGTTCAGTACAAGACCGCTTATTACTCTTTTTACCTTCCAGTGAGTACAAATTTCTTTTACGCTTTCATAGCTCATGCCTCATGGTTCTCAGATTCATTTCATCTTTATAGTCAAACCCCCTCTAGAACGGTTAATTGTCAATTTTGCTTTAGAGAAGATTTCAACCATGGTCCTTACGTAGGTAGAAAGTCTGCTTTCTAATTGGCATGTAATGTAAAGGCTGTTAGGCCTAGTCCTTTTCTATGTGAATGAAACTGAAAATTTTGAAGATTTTTTGGTTTCTGATCATATATTTGAATAGCCGAAAACCTCTATAGGAAGGAGTTTTTATTTGCTTGATTTCCTCCGTAAAAGAAGTTGGTTTAGATTCATGTGTTTCTATCTTCCTGAACACCCGAAACCATATGAAACAATTAATGTTCATCCCAGGATTTGATGAAATTTCTTTGACATAATCATGCTTAACCAATCTATGCACTCAGGTAGCATGCGCGTTGCTAATGGCAGGCGAAGATCTTGAACACCATACTGATGTGAAGACTATTCTTATTGAAATGGGAACTTATTTTCAAGTACAGGTAATAGTTAATTTCACGTATAAATCCTCTATTATTTTATTGCTGATAAACTGTAGGATGACTAGGGAAAAAGAAATGGAGGATTGCCAAACCCACAGCTCCCCAGTCAATTTATGACCACCAGTTTTCTTTGTCTTCCTTCTTTATAAGCCCCTTCTTTCTTATTTTAACCGAACGATATGCTGATGTATTTTGTAGGATGATTATTTGGATTGTTTTGGTGATCCCGAAGTGATAGGAAAGGTATATTTTAAGCTATACTCATTTGGCTTTTGGTCATGCAATTCCCTACCATCAAAGCATTGTGAACCAACTGTTTGTCATTTGAAATATTAGGTTGGGACTGATATTCAAGACTTCAAGTGCTCTTGGTTGGTTGTGAAAGCTTTAGAAATTGCTAGTGAGGAACAAAAGAAACTATTACACGTAAGCAAGTAAATCTATATTCTAATGTATCGTATACTAGTCCCGGTGTTATAGTTCTTGATTACATTTATTCGTGTTTGTGTTATGTTACCAGGAGAATTATGGGAAAGATGACGAAACATGTATTGCAAAAGTAAAAGAACTATACAAAGTCCTTGAGCTTGAGGTTATTCTCTCCATCTTCTTGTTCTACTTTACTTTTCTTTTCTGGAACCGCATCTTGAAGCCTGGAAAACATATTGCATAACATCAAGGGTTTATTTCTTGTGCGTTTTTTTCTGTATTTCGAACCAAAGGTTTTAACATTACCATTTTATTTAACTTGCGGTTTTTAGGGTGTATTTCTGGAGTATGAGAGCAGCAGTTGCCAGAAACTTACAAAATTGATTGAATCTCATTCAAGTAAAGCAGTACAGGCAGTGCTGAAATCATTCTTGGCAAAGATATACAAGAGGCAGAAGTAAGCAAAGAAGGAAGCAGATACCGAATGCTTAGCAACGGCAATGTTACTGCCTCATTTTCTAATAATTGACTACGACAAAGGACATAAGAAAAAGCAAAACACGTTTGTATCCCTTCTCTTCTGGTTTTCCTGCTTCGGATTTCCTGTGAAAAACTCCCCTGCTGAATATGTTAGGCCAAACTATGTTAATTTTGGTGACTTTCATTAATTGTATTTTTATGTTGTAAGATTTCGGCGTTTTGGCCTTGGAGAAATTAGACTCATAAGTTAATTTATTTGCCGTTATCGAATAAAAAAAGGACTCAAAGCTGCTGTGTTGTATTGTATTCAGAGGTCAATTTTGTTCCTTGTGACTCCATGCCTCCCTGAAGCAAATGCCACTTACTTTGCAGCTCTTGTGCAGATTCCTGCCCGGCTTAGTATGCTCGTCTCTTAAAAAATGTTGCAGTAAAAGTAATTTCCTGCACTTGCATGACTGATGCGTAGTGTGTGCACATACGAAAGCATTCAAGTTAACATAGAGATATACATGCAGACATATATCCAGCACAACCAAATTATGATCAATAATATGACATTCAGAACTTAATTTTCAGTTTCTTTGACAAACAATAGGATAATCAATAGTAAACTACAGGAGGGGAATTCAAACAGAACCTCAGCGTACAAGGACGAATGCTCTTAACCAATTGAACTACAATCCACTTGCAACGTAATTTTCAGTTTTACCTAGTAGCTTCGAGACTTGTTTATTTTTGTATACTCTCCTCTCTTTTTTATCTTTTTCTTATTAAAATTCAGAACTACTAACCATGTTGGTTAATTTTAGAATGGAAGGTGATTACCTATTTTATGAATTAACAAATATTAAGTTGTGAGGGTGAGCCTTGGCGCTATAAAAATATTGTTTCTTTGTGACTAAAAGGTCATAGATTCAAGTCATGGAAACAACAGTAAGGCTGCATACTATAGAGTTTTCTCCTAACCCTCACAAAGCGGAAAGTCTTGTTGGCTTGGGATCGCCCTTTATTTTTTCAATAAATATTGAGTTGTACAATTAGCCAATGGTACTTCTGGCTTTTGGAAAGCTGTTATTCTGTTCTTTTTTCTTGGCACAATAATTAGTTAAAATTAAAAATATTTAGGCATGGTAAAAATGGAAATTAGTGGCTACAAACTTGTGATGAAGGAGATATCACAAACTTGCAACTCCAAAAAAAGAAGTGGTTGAAACTTGAAGCCCAAAAATTCAGCTATTTGTGACTGCTGTCAAATTTGTTCATATTTCAAATCAAGATTTTCTTCCATTTTGTCAAGGGGGTGGGTTGAAAGATAAATGTGGTAGCACCTCCCTTCACCATCTCACCCTTCTCTCCTTGCAAGAAGACAGACAACATTTTTTCTGGCGATTGGGGAAGAACTTCTGCCATTTCCAAGTATTCTCCTGCAGGTTTACATATATACTTTTCTTGTCAAGATCTTCTGATTTCAAAAGTTTACTTTTGTTGATTCTATTTGTTTGTTTTTTCTAATCAATTTTGAATATATGATAATGAGTTTAACACGATGCTTGCATTACTGCCGTCCTCCGATCGCTTTATATATCTCAGCCATCGAATTGTTCGATGAATAACACTACGGAAAAAGTCATGAATCGGTATAATTTTGATGATCGTGTGTTAGTAAACACGCAGAAAGTCGAGAATCATCCCTAATCATTTCAGTATGCGTTCTACTGTGAATAAACATGCTAGAAAAGTACATGTATCGTTGGAAATCTAGTATCTTAAGAGCCTTTTCTCTTTAAACAAATCGTTGTTGGACTCAAAATCTCGAGTGCATGGGTGAATACATGTATAATAACGGTTGTTATTTTTCTTTTTGGTTGAAGTTTGACAGAAAATATGGCTGAAAAGGTGGAGCAGAATCCCCGAACCCCAAGGACGATCAAGTGCAAGGGTCAAAACCTAACCATACCAGAATTTACCATAGAGGATTTCAGGAAGCATAATCACATGCTTGGTTCACCAACATCACAAGGAGGTACTCCAAAATCAGCAAGGTGGAAGAACTGCCTCTGCTCCCCAACCACTCATGTTGGCTCATTCCGCTGCAGACACCACCGGACATCAAGTTTCGGATCAGGCCTCAGCCGTGTAGGGAGCTCCGTCGGCTCTAACCTCTCGGAGCTCGAGAACCGAAAAGTAGAGCCTAGTCCCCTTAATGACTCAGTCCCTGCTCAGTAACTTCTTCTGATCATATGGAAAAATGTTGAGTTGAGTGAATATTTGGCATGCATGCGTGTAGCTTCTTCAACATAAGAAAAATAATATATATTATATACTGTCAACACCAAAACTAAGATCCTGATGAATGTTGGGTATCAAGAAAAAACGAACTTACATCTGATGAGTGTTGTATAAATTTGTTAGTATTTATTGATTAGTAAAACATTAAGAATTTAATTCAAATTGTTTTTGTTTATGATAAAGCACGTATTGTTTCCTTTTATTTCGTAAGACGATGTTGAGAGATGAGGATTCGGACTCAAGAACTTCGGATTAACCACTAAATAACCAGCATCAATAAAAATTTTAATCTATGAGGCCTAACATTCAGCCACAAGTATTTTTGGGAAGGAGAAAATAACTTAAACCTAATTGTGATTGAAAATTGATTCTCCGAACAAATGTGAAATGTGGATTAATGTAGAGGGACATTGGCGATTTAAATTATATATGAACTTGAATTAGAAGTTTCAGAGGAATGAAACAATTCTAGTATATATAAATCACGGTTTAGTACCCTTTACCATTCACTCGAGGATCTATCTTTGATTAAAATTTTGTAATCAACACTCTAGTGCATATTTCTTATTCCTCAAATAAAAACAAGAAAGAAAGAACCAGCAGAATATACAAAAAGATTCATCAAAACTCAAACATAGTTAAAAAAATTTAATCAATTAACTTGATACATGACCAAGAACCTAATAATACAAAGGAGAATAGTGAACATCATTCGTCTTCGAAGGCTTAGAACAAAAGAAACCAACTCTCTGTTGCCTTCTTGAGCCAAGATCCACCAGAACTAACATCTTTCGCAACCACGTCGAACTGTGGATACCTTAGGGTTTGGAAAGCCGGATCGAAGAAGTCCTCAACCCCGTGAGCGATCAGCCGTCCGTTGTTATAGAGATCCCACTCAGTGACTTTGACTAGGTTAAGAGAAGCATATCCATGTGTGCCGGCAGGTAAGGAAGTGACAACAAGAGGATGACCCGGCAGAAGAGTGTCAACCTTGGAACCGTGGCGAAAAGAGGCCTCCATGGAATCTTTGTTCATCTTGAATGGCACAGCATGGTACTTGAGGAGCGTCAACGGAGGCTGTGGGTACTTGGAGTTGAAGAAAGCTTTGTCTTGTGGGCAAAAGAGGGTAATAGTGCTGTTAGGGTTTATAGCTTCAAGAATCCTGTCTAGGGTAAGTGACATGGCATGATACCCTTTGTCGGAGAGTACGGCTGACACCATACCGCCATTGATCGTCCCCGATGGTTTGCGCTGGTTTGTTTCTTCGTAGGGTTGGACAGCTTCAGCTTGCATGGTGTTGGTAACAAGGAGAGGTGAAACGAGAAGAAGAACAAGAAGAAACCGGAGTGCAAACTTGGGATCCATGGGAGAAGAGAGAGCTAGGTTACTTTCAACTAGAGAGTTTGGTGAAAGAAAACATGAGGCGGAGCACGTATATATAGTACTGAGCCAGTTTCTTAATCCTACCCAAAATTGTAATTGAATTCCGAATCGTAAAGGGATTCATTTTTCGTTTTGGAGATATATAATAAAGTTATAATTTGGCTCTTGATGGTTTTTATTTTTTTTTTTATTTTTGCCAAATTATGATGTCAACACGCAAACAAACTATCTTTTTTTTTTTCTTAAAAAAAAAAGAAAAAAAAAGAAAAGAGTTTTAATGAAAAGCCTACGGTAATGTTCACTTTAACGAAAAACCACATTTTTACATTAAAAAGTCAAATCTGGTACTATTCACTTTACCCTTTATTTTGTCCTTATCGTTAAAACACAACCAGCTAATGATGTCACATCACCCCATCTTTTTTGGGGATGGAAAAACTTTCATAAGTATTTCAGTCTCTCTCTAGCTATTATAATGTAATTTACCAGTATTAAAAATCGAACTCATAACATTATCATATGGAATCCGTCTAAGAGATAAAATCCATCAAGTTGAAGTTGAACTCACCCTAACAGTCCGTGTAAAACAACTTGACTAATCAATCCGCATGTAATAAGAACTAAGTAGCCCTACGGATTAGAACTGCTTACATGTATGTAACGCCAATTATGCAGACGTCATTTGACCGTCACCCACCTTCTTCTTCTCATCATAATTAATTGGTGTTATCACCAAACTCATGTTACAGTACATTTATGTAATTTATGTTTATCAATATTGAATTCTAAAAATTTGCACGTGAATTAGTAATACTACGCTAAAGTGTTGTGGTCACAAAACCAAATCTCCTCTCTCTCCTTGCCTCCTTTGAGGGCGGGTCGACTGCAAAGTTGTCATGGTCAAAATTTTAGGCTACTCAAAACGGCCTACAACATCATAGAAACTTGAAACCTTTTTATTTTTCGTAAATTAGAGTAATTTGGAATATCGTCTCCTTTCTCTTATCACCCCCACATCATCAAAGAAACTTGAAACCAACTAGATTGAATTCGATTCGGTTGCAAGATGAAATCTGAAAAAGAAAAAAAAATGCTTTATTCTTTATTTCCCTCTAAACCCTAACCTTTTCATTGTTTTAATTACTTTTTTTTTGGGCACTTTAACGAAAAGTTCTCGGTACTATTCACTTTAACGAAAAATCATATTTTTACACTAAAAAATCAATCCTGATACTATTCGCCTTACCCTTTATTTTATCTCTATCGTTAAAACTCAAAATTTTCAAACAATTTTCATTAATTTTTCTTTTATTTTTACTTTCGAATTTTGGGGTTGTAAGGAAATTAAATTTTGGTGTGTATTGAAGTGAGCCTAGGTCTTTTGTTTTGCAGGCCGAACAGAAGATATGGGTAAGGATTAGGCCCAGTCCAGCTGTCCAAGACGATAACAAAACTGAAGACAAAACGACACCGTTGGGAATTTCGGCCGTTGTTTCACCGCCATCCATAGTTTCCATAGGCGTCCACACCGAAATCAACACCCAAACCTCCACCTCCACAAAACTTCAAAATTTTGCAGATAA